GGACCTGGTGGCTTAAAACTCACGCTGGGCGTGTGTGCGTGTGTGCCCAAGATCCCGAGAGGAGAATGGAGGAGAAGGGATTGCGGTGTGGCCATCCCCCCTGGGGGGCGATTTCTCGCTTTCTGTCTCTATGTCTCTCTCTGTCTGGCGAGCACACGCGCCGTATAGCGAAAAAAAACTCTCAAAAAAAAAAACCAAAAAAACGCGCGACAGCCCAGTGGTGATCTTGCATCCCCTCCCGATTCAGCCACTCTTACTGGCCTTGTGACCCTGAGAAAAGCCTAAGGACTGTTAGTGCTGACTTTCCTAGGGTGCTTGGAGCTTTTCGGTCATGGTCAATTGCTTTGCTTGATGCCCTTTAAAAACTCTTTTCAAATCATGAAAAAACTACACTCTTATTAATAAAAAGCTAATTTTATAATGAGTCGATATTTTTTTTTTTTGGAGAGGGTTTTGTTATAGGGCGAATGTGCTTGCTAGAGAGAGAGAGAGCAAGAAATCACCCCCCAGGGGGGATGGCCACGCCACAATCCCTTCTCCTCCATTTTCCTCTCGGGATCTTGGGCACACACGCACACGCGCCCGGCATGAGTTTAAGTCACCAGTCTGGGACTCGAACCGCAGTCGACTACATGGGAGTCCAGCAACGTAGCCATTACGCTAACTGCTGGTCCCATGAGTCAAACATTCTGATAACGATGTAAAGTCCTACATATGAAGTTAGATTTCCCAGGCTAGGCAAAAGAATAAAAAGTAGGCTTTGAAATGCCTAAACTAATCTCAAAACGACAAACAAAATACATTCCTTAGCTAATGAATCAGATGTAACAACTGTCTCCAAAGACCAATTGATAAAGAACGAGAAGCAAGGTAGAAAGGGAACAGTAAGTAGACGGAACTGTGGGAAGAAAGACAGTGTTCGGGGGAAGATGTATTTGTGGTGAAAAAGGTTAAGAACAAAGAGAACATTTCAATATCGAAGGAGTTTTGTACAGTAACATTTTTGTCCTAAAGTACGATGGCTGGAATATTTCCAGAATGAAAAAGTAAAAGGGGTGAGATAAAGAAGGACTAAAGCATGTCAGGAAAGGTTGGAGTTATGCTGAGGAAGGCCTGAGGGGGAAGGGGAAAGAATTAGAGTTCATGCAAAGATGTATAGGTGACAGATGGCACCTGAGGTGGCCATGAAACAATGGGCCACACTAGCTGGTGCGGAAACACAGTCTACATAGACCTAATTTACTCAGTTAATGTTTGTTAATAAAACAGATCCTCTCCTTGTTTTCACTCACTCGAGCTGGCTAAAACAAAACAGAGGGAACTAGCCTCCCCCCACCCATGCTGCCAAATTGCTTTCTTTTCCCATATTTAAGTGAAATGATCTAAATCTGATCTTTGATTCAAAATTACATCAGTGGAGTTCCTCTTTTTTTTTTTTTTTTTGAGA